GGGAGAAGAATGTCCAATATATGATTCTTTTTATAAGAACTAATGCTGAAAGTAACATTTTACCTGACCTATCAACACCTAATAATTAGTAGTCACCACCATCAGTACTGTTTCCACCAGTCAAATTGTGAGTCTTGATGATTCATTCAACATTTTAATAGTAAAGAAATCTCTGCTACCTCATTTATTCCCTTTTTATTTTTTACTTTTTTCTAATTCGTGCCTCAATCAGAGAAATTGAACCAACAGAAATACCTAAAGTGTTAATCAGTTTAAATTAAAATAATGATTTCCCAAACTAGAAACACCTACAGTATATATCAATATAAAATCATCAGAATGACTACAACAACAACTATTAATAAATACCAGGGAGAAATCCAAAACAAATAAAATCTTGATGTACAAACATGCAAGAAATATGGTATGTATTATGCCTGTTACTGTAAAGACTTCTGTATTTTTCACAACACTCTTAAAGGCAAAAAAAATTATCTAAAATTCATGATGTCATTTCACTTGCTCCCAGGAGACACCACTAGCAGGTAATTATTTTTGATAACGTTCCTTCCCACCCTGGAGCACTTCTTTACGTGCACTGAATATATTTAACACTTCATTATTCAACAGCCATTTATCATAGCTATAATTAGTTGTTAAATAAGCAAATAATACTGATTTTATTTTATTTTATTTTGCTTCCAGTGGTGATGTTTCGTGCTTTTTTTTTTCTGTTTTGTTTTTATAGGAACTTTTAAAAATGCAGACAATTTGCTGTATTGTTCTGAATTCCTACTGGAAATAAATAAGCAAAATGGAAATATATCCTGGACAAATAAAATAAAATCCTATTTGTCATCTTTCGCGTCTGTTCAAGCAGGTACAATTTTGAAATTACTGACGTATTAAGGCTTCATCTATTCATATAAATGAATATTTACTGAAAATGCTTACAAAATCTTTTTACAGAATTGCCATTGGATATAATTAAATCCCTGAATATGGTACAGTATGCTAATGATAAAAACTGTCAGTAATTTTGCAATGATTTATGATCTGCAGCTAAGAGGAGAGCTCCAACAAGACAAGCAAAATTGTACACATTGTTAAGAGGACACATTTTCCATTAAAGATTTAAAGGGAAATCTTATAATTAAGTTTTCTAGATAGGAGCTTTTCAAAGATATTTAGGTACCTACAGATACAAATAGTGTCTTTTAAGATTCTAAAAGACAGCAGTTTGTTTGTTTGTAGTAAGAGTCAAGTATCCATGAAAATAAAAAAATCAAAGATGATGCGGTATAAAAATGTTATAGGATTCAAAAGCTTCTGTTTTCAGGTGAAATGAGTGTTTGTAAAATCTTTAAAAAAATAAAATAAATAATAATGATAAGCCATTAAACACAAATGCAAAGGTTTCCAGCAGCAGTGTCCATTTAGCTAAAACTAGCTCTCACACAGGTCTATATAGTATGTTCTATTAGTGGACAGACAAAGTGATTTACAGTATGTCAAGAAAAAATAGTAGTAGTAATGAATAACTGAAATTTAAAAAACAGTCAAGAAAGACAACTTTTATTTAAATATCTTCTTATATTACATTCTCTTTAAGAAAACATACTAGGAAATAATGTAAAAATCACTTCAAGTTTGCTTTAATGTGCTGCTTGTTTCTCCCTTCTTATTCCTTCTGCATCCTCTCTTCTCCCACTAAATGCCAAAACACGTACTCTCACCTGTCAGCTTAGGTCCATTTCCACATTTATCAGTTGTTTCTGTGTATGTGATATGTTTCTATACTTATATGTTGAGTTGGTCTTGCTTCAATGGAATTTTGGAAAACCTATGGTGACCTGATGCACAATTTAAATGAATATAAGCAGGAAAAATAATTAATATGATTTCACTTTGAAACTTATCCTGTGGAAACATCTGGCTCATGAGCTGATACTTACAAGAGCAGATGATAGTCAACCTGCCAGTGAAAGATTGGTTAGACAGCTGAACAGATGTGACACTTTTTGAAGACTTTTTTATTCCCAATAAATATTGTATCACTCAATACAATGCAAAGAGGGATGTAGATTCCATTGTTAGCTTTCATTCTGTCAGAAGGTATTTGTACAGCAGAAAAATAAAAATAAAATCCAACAAATACAATGTTTTATTTTGTTTTGTTTTGAGTAAAATGAAATGCTCTCTTTTCTCTGCTCATTAAAAAGTGCAACATAAAAGTGCATCAAATCTTGATGCCTTTTGGATAAGATGCAGAGTACATTTTTTTTTTTCTATAATATAACACTCTGCAGTTCCAGGAACATCTCGATAAATTTTCCAGACAAAGGATATTATAGTTGGCTTTGGATTTCTACTACAACTTCTTTTGTTTGACCCTGTTATAAATGGTAACTTCAGCTCAATTTGGTCTTCCACACAAATAAAGCGGCTCTGATTTTGGCATCATAATTCTATGATGAGCCACTTCTGATAAAACTTTTTAGCCAATGGACTGTCTAGATAAGATGATCTTTTAAATATCAAAGGAAGCCTCAGTTTGTTGATAGTTTCTTAATTCAGTATAACTTTTCTGTCAATCTAAAAACAGAAGCAATGGATGAACAGCAATCTAATTGTTCTGTTAAATATTTTTCAATTCAGTTCGAAGATAATCACTGCTGTTTAGTGTAGTTGTTCTTACTCCTCCTATTATTTGAGAATAGATGTATGAATATAATTTCTTATATTTAAAAAGTTTTAGATTTTCTTTCATTTTTTGCTTCTTATCATTACCATAAATAATTTTGTAAGCGATCAAAACATTCAATTCAGCTCTGTAATGTGCAAGCAGAAATTTCGGAACAGTTATACTGCAATTATACTTTTTGACCAGAAAGAAATTAAATTACTGGAAAATAAATAAATAAATAAAATTTAAATTAAAAAAAAAAAAACACCACCATAATTATAATCTTGGGAATAAAACCTGAATTGTAATAGTTATTAAAAACAAACAAACAAACAAACAAAAAACATCAAATGGAAAATAATAAAGGCATCTGTCATATAAACATCTTTCCAATTCTGTGAACTGGAGTTACTTACAAAAAATAACTCTTTCACTATGTAACTATACTGCATCTTATATAAAACTACCATGCAATTGAAATCAATGTATTAAACACATTTTTAATGGCAGTACACTTTAGTGAGTGCAGTGAAAGATTTTTCCTGCACAAGGTAATGAACTTCTATTACGAAGAGCAGCTTAAAGACTTCAAGTATTTTAGATGATTAAAACATTAGTGGTGATTATTCACTGTCAGAGCTATAAAAATAGAACATTTGATTAACACAGCATTAGTAAATGTGTTAGCATTTTACAATATGTTACTTTACAGTTGTACCCTCATTTTTTATTGAATTGAATTATTTGCACCAGTCTAGGTGTTTCAGCTACACTTTGTTAATACTCGTGTGAATAACTTATCCCTTAATGTAGTTGTTGAAATATTCATTGTTTTGGAAAAACAATGCTTTGCTGGATTTGTGAATTACATGTTATTCATGTCTGTGTAACTAAAATTAAAAAAAAAAAAAAAATGATGCAAAATATCACTTTAGGTCATCTTCCAAAGTATAAAACTCTATCAACAGAAGACATACTGGGTTCTGTGATGTTAAAAAACTTTCAGATTATGCCTTGGTTGCCAGCAGTAGGTAATGAAAATCATTTTCTCTCAGGAGAGTTATTACTCCATCTTTATGCTATGCTAAGGTCATTATTTCATGAGAGTTCAACATACAAAACAATATAGCTGGAGCACGAACAGTAAGGCTTTTCTCAGTATTGACATCAATATTGTATGAATTCTTTGTGTTTGTGTGTGTGTGTGTGTTAGAATTGCAATTCTGTCCTCATTTCATTTTTTCCTTCGTGCAAGTATTGTTAACATGTCTTGCTGGAAAATAAAAGAGTTTGACGTGTCAAACATTTAAAAGCTGCACTTCTAAAAACCCTGATGGTTTTGTCCTCTTTGTTATTGAAATATATGTATATATATTGAAAACATGGTTGAATTATGAAGTCATGCATTCAAGTAATATGACTCTTATTTTCTACTAGTATCTATTGGTTTTCATTTTAATCAGTCTGCATGTATTTGATATAAATGTAGACATCAGAAGTCCAGGGCTTCTTTAGGGATTCCACAGGTGCTGATTAACTTCATTATTATGATACAGGATTAGAAATGCCTCTGAACTCCAGAACTGCCACTCTGAACTGGCAGAGGAGTGAAAAGGCATTATCACAGGACTACTGTTAAATGGGTACATTTTGTTCGGTATGTATTCATGATTCATGTAGTCATGTATTCATACTCATGATTTCAGTGAGTGACTTGGTATATTTCACTGCATTTTCTTGCCTTTTATAGAACCCTAGTTCTATAAACTCTAGATTCTGTTAACGTGTCTTCAAATGATTTTCTTTAACATCCAGAGTCTTCTTAGCAAATAAGATCAAATGAACAAGCTGCAGCAATGAAAAGGAGGATTTTCACCATGAGGATGGTTCAGCACTGGCAGCCCCCGTGGTGCTCACTCCCAGGAGTGCAGCGCCGTCAGGAGGCAGCAGCTGCCCTGGGTGCCTGTTTCTTTGTCTCTGTGAGAGGACAAAGGGATGCCGAAGGAGCAAGAGGCGAAGGCCTGCTCCCAGCCCAACAAAGGGCTGCCGAGCGTGAAGCACCACCACCAGGTGCGGGACAGGGAGGGAGGGAGAGGGCAGACACAGGAGAGAGAGTGCCAGGTGGCGGAGCATGGTACCGGGGCGCGAGGCCTGGCCCTGAGTGTCTGCGGTCCAGGCCCAGGTTCTCGTGCCCTAGGGGTTTCTCTGGGGCAGAGCTGAGGCCTGGGATGGCTGCGACTCGCGTGGGTCGGGCAGCACTCTGTCCGAAGGATGTGGCACTGAGGTGGGGCTGGGTGTCCAGGCACCACAAGGGATGCTGGTGGCAGCGCAGCCACCACCATCCCACACCTCCTTCTCCCCACAGGTGCAACCCAAACTGCCACAGGCAGGACTGCCGTGCAGCCAGACCCCATCCTTGTCCATCCACGGGGTGAGGCTGCCACAGCTCCACTGCCCACAGAAGTCACAGGCCTCTAGGAAGAAGAGCACACAGGTAGGGAGCCCAAGTGACATGGGGACAGATGCCTTCCCAAGCCCTGGGAGCTGCTGACAAGGAGGCGGCACATGCTGGAGGGGGCAGGTGGGCAGGTGCTGGAGGTGGGCAGGTGGGAAAGGACTACGGTAACATGACCTTTCTCCTTGGCTTCCCTTGCAGACAGACAGCCTGAAGCTGAGGCAGGCACTGCCCGGCAGCAGTGCCACCGGTGAACGGAGAGATCCTCTACCAGCCTTGCCGCCTCTGCCAAGGCAGGCAGCGACACTGAGAGCTACACCTCGGCATTCAGTGGGAGCTTCAACTATCCCCCGGCTGCCCAGTCTGCCAGTAGCAGGCTCCACCTCTTCTGTGCCATGCAGAGACTGCATCACGAGCACCAAGGCTGTCAGACTCCCCGAGGTCGTCCCACGTCCTCAAGGACACGTGAGAAAACAGCAAATGGCAGCAACTGCCGAGAGCCGGGGGACAGCCCTGCAAGCCCCCGCATCCATTCTGGCGCCTCTGCAGGCCAGACCCCAGCAAGACAACAGGCCAACCCCAAGCCATGCTGCAGCCAGGAGCCAAAGACCCAGGGTGCAGCTGAGGGTACAAAGGCACTACGCCCCTCCCAGCAGTGTGGCAACACCTGCAAGGACAGCCCAGGTGCCGGCCACCAAGACTGAAAAGATGCCAGCAACACGGAGATGAAAAGATGGCCATGCTTGAGAGGACACCAGAGCTGCTGCTGGGACCTCCAAGCCATGTTCCCTGGCAGCAGCACCGGGCCCAGCAGCGCAGGCAGACAGCATTGCCTGCCGCCCTCAGGGCAAGACCCCACACCGTGGGGATGTGGCACAGTATCAGGCAGTCCTGGACAGTGAGCCAGAGCATCTGGAGGAGCTGGAGAGCACTGCTGCAGGACCATCAAGGGAAGAACAGAGGGACTTGATGCAGGAGGAGGAGCAAAGTGACGCTGCTACCAAGGACCCATCAGGAGGGAGGCAGCAGAAGGAAGCCACCTCGAACCTTCACTGGGACCCAGACGCAGCCCACCAGCAGGGGCCTGGCTCACCCCACAGCACTGGCAGAGATTCTGCCAGAGAGGCAGTCAGCCACGCACAGAGTGCATCTCTTGCCATGTCAGGGCCAACCAATGCTGAGCCAGCAGATTCTGCGCAGGTTGCAGGTCCTGCCAGTGAGGGGGACAAGAATCCTATAGGTGCATCAGCACCCAGAGATGCTAAATCGCCTTCTCCCCTGCCTGCTGCTATGCCCGGCCCTTCCACAAGCAGCCAGAAAAGACCGTCGACATTGAAAGACCGGGTCAAGATCAACTGGGATATCTATGGGTGCTCCTCCTTTCGGCCAGCAATGCAGATCATTCCGAGCGGGGAGAGGGAAGGCCGCCAGTTGTCCCGGTGGAACGAGTCCTGGCCAAGCAGCGTGAAGGTTCCAAGGTTGCGAAGGATCTGGGCAGCAGACGACGGTGACACAGCTGACAGCACTGCACCCAGTGCATCGGGCAGGCAGGAGGTGGCAGTGAGAACTGCGGGCCAGCGCCTTCCCTACTTTTGCTCCACAACGAGTAAGACCACTCTGCAGGACATTCAGGAAGAGTGGGAGGAGAGCCCCAGGAGAGAAGCTGTGGCAGAAGCAGACGACGTCCTGCCCAGCACGTCTCCTGCCCCATCTGGTGAGGCAGATGCCAGGCCTTCAGCTGCTCCTATGGCCGCAGTTCCTGGGCCCGAGGAGCTCCCCCCTGCCTGCATGCCCAAAGATGGAAAAGCTTCAGCCTCTCCCCTGGCTGCGGACCCTGTGTTGGAGGCCAGGACAGCACCTCTCACCCCATCAGCATGTGAGGAAGAAGAAGCAGCACCTTCTCCCCTGGCTGGGGGCCTTCTGCAAGAGGTAAGCAAGGTATACCTTCCTCGTCCCACAGTCATGGAAGCCACAGACCCCTGTCGGTGGGCCTCGAGGCCCCTCATCACTTATCCATCTGGCATCGGGGGCATCGGGGCCCGGAGCATGGCCAAACAGTGGCCCACAGGGCTGTGGTTTTCTCACCCCATGCAGGTTTCCTCTGAGCATAGAAGCAGTGCACAGCGTTCCTCACACTTCCAATCGGTGCCAGAGGAAGGGCCAGGTATGTCCTAAAGTATGGAGCCATCCCAGCCCACGGCACGGAGGCTGGCAGCACTCCACGCACAGGGTCCCTCTGTGTCCAACTGTCCCCTCCCCAAGGGAAAGCCTTGGTGGCGGGGGCAGGCAGGACCATGCCCAGTTCCATCCCAGCCCCTCACGTACAGCTCTCTGACCCCCACAGGCACTGCTGCCCTCCCGCACGCTGTGGCTCGCTCGCGATTGCCCCGCCTCTTCAGGAGAGCACTTCGGGCTCTACGCAGGAGTTTCTGCTTCAGCTGCATCACAGAAGACCTAGAGCAACGTGAGGCTGACAGTACCAGGGAGCTCCCCACAGATGGCAGCTTCGGTCCCGAGGACGGGGCTTCTGAATAAAATTGTTCAGAACTATTTCATAGATGAGGGCTGTCTCTTCTGTTCTGTTCTGCGTGCATGGGTGTCTGTGGGCTGCGTGTGCAGCTGCTGCGGTCAGACCCTGGGGCAGGGTGTCCCCATCTCCATGCTGCTAGTGCCTAGAGGGTGCACAGGTTTGTTCAGCAGTACTACCAGTGAAGAGACAGAGTCTCTGCCACCCTTGCTGCCTCTCCCAATGCAGACAATGACACTGACAGCTGCACCTTTCTATTCAGTGGGAGCTGCAAATATCCCGTCCCCTTGCTGCCACTCTGGCAGCAGTAGGCTCCACCTCTTCTGCGCCATGCAGAGAACACACATGGAGCACCATGCCCGTCAGACTCCCTGATGTTATCCTACATCCTCAGCGAAACCTGGGTAACTTGCAAATGGCAGCAAGTGCTGAGAGGTGGGGGACAGCCCTGCAAGTCACCTCCTGAAATTAACCTTTCACATTAATTTATAGACATTAATAAGGTCAGTGCTCAGTCTACTCCAAGCTAATAAGACCCTGTTCACTCAGACTTTCCTCGTAAGGGAGATGCTGTACTCTCTTAATCATCTTTGTTGCTCTGTGCTGGACTCTCTAAAGCAGACCCTTCTTCCTAGATATCCTTCTTGAACTGAGGGGTCCAGAACTTGATGCAATATTCCAGATGCGGGCAGGGCAGAGTAGAAGGGCAGGAAAACCTCTCAACCTGCTAATGGCACCTCTTCTAATACACCCCGGGATGCCACTAGCCTTCCTGGCCACAAGGGTACGGTGCTGGCTCATGGTCATCCTGCTGCCCACCAGGACACCCAGGTCTCTTTCCCCTGCACTGCTCTCCAGCTGGGGAGTCCCCAACTTATACTAGTGTCTGGAGTTGTTCTTGCCCGGATGCAGGACTCTACACTTGCCCTCATTATATTTCATTAAATTTCTTCCCACCCAATTCTACCTGTTTAGGTCCAACTGGATGGCAGCACAGTCTTCTTGTGTGTCAGCCACTACTCCCCATTTAGTGTCATCAGCAAACTTGCTGCCAGTGCACTCCATTCCTTAATCCAAGTCATTGATGAATATACTGAACAATACTGGTCCCAGTACCGACCCTTAAGAGATCCCACTAATTCCCACTGAATCCAACTTGATTCTGTCCCATTGACCACAACTCTCTGCCTTCTTCCCTTCAGTCAGTTCAAAGTCTACCTCACTACCCAATCATCCAAACCACGCTTCGTCAGTTTATCTGCGAGGATGCTGTGGGAGATGATGTCAAAGACTTTACTGAAATCAAGATAAACCACATCCACTGCTTTTCCATCATCTATCCACCTGTTTATGTGCTAAATAACTTATTTCACTCCTTTTCTGCCCATTGCGGTAAAAATAAATAAATAAATAATATTTTAAAAATTAAAAAAAAAAAAAACATGCAATAAGTCCGTAGCTAGTGATAAATTAAATTTGTCAAATATTTGGGACAGCTTCATATGTATTCTGTCTTCCAATTTCCATTTCTTGCAGAGCTACTTATGCCATTTCAGACTTCGCAGTAGCTTCAGTCACACATGGCTGTTTAAAAACATGCCAGATGAATAGATCATTATTTGCCCTCTGAACCAGTCCGTATGTGGTGGTGGTCTGAAATACTGGACAAAGAATATGCAATTTTGTCATGATTGTATTAAGACTCAATATTTTAGCAAATCATCTGTAAGACCATATGGAAACTTATGCCCCTAAGATGATAAATGGTGAATTTATGAAATTTTCACCTTTTATCCTGGAAAATAATGAGTTATAAGAATTTTTCATCTCTAAGTTTGGTTTTTAGACATTCTCATTACAAAAGCATTTCCTAAATAGTCGTGCCATTGCATATGTAGCATATGCCAATAGCATAAATCTAGTTACAGTTTATGACTTTACTTGGAATAACTAAAGATAATCTGAAAACTCAATCACACATCTCTCCAATAAAGATGAAATTCAATTCTTCATGTGTGCGACACTATCACAAAAGAAAAAAGAAGAAAAAAAAAAAAAGTGGGTCATGTTTTAACAGATTGCCTTTGAAAGTTACCTTGGTTTTAATATTACTATTCATTCCTCTGATGTAAGAGAAACAGTTTCTTGGCTTCAAATACGTGTAGTTAAATTACAATAAAACTTTTAATAGTGCATCAAAAGGAGAACCAGATTCCACTATCTTTAAACAGCAGGTTATGGAAGACTTGATTGCAGCCCTGCTCATTGTCACATAGTCATGGGTATTGTTACTGGCCAGTAGTGGTGCCACTGCCTCAGAGTATACAGATTTACCCACAGTACTTTTCCTCTAAAATTTCCATTCTTTTCAGCTATTGCTACAATTCAAATACAGCATAGTTTTGATCTGCTTTTGAAAAACATGTCAAGAAAGCCAACACAAGCCCAAGACTAGGAGTAATCCTCCCCCCCCCCTTTTTTTTTTAACTTTCGTTTTGTTTTACCTCCTGATTCTACTCAGTAGCTTCAGGATAAATCAATAGTTGATATACCAAACAGAGAACATAAAACTTCTACATACTGTCATATTTCGCTTCAAAACAATCAAATTGCAATCACTTCTTTCGAGTACAATAACCTTAATTTCAGTATTTATATATTCCTAAATTTCTCCCCTAGTTTCATTTCTTACGAAGAATACATTCAATCTTTGTATTTTCTGACTAATTATGGACACTTAAAGATCATGCATAATTATTTCTTCAATTTTAGATGTGTTAGGTTATTATTAAATAAACTTAGTTTTAGCTGAAATGTTATATTATAAAATAAAATAAATATAGGACAATTCCTCAATATTAATGCCTTGTGCTTTGGATTTCAGTCCGATTTAATCTTCTGTACATACTAAAGATGATTTAATGAAATGGTAAATTCAGAGAAATTAAGAATATCACTATCTGTTGTGTACTTAAAAATTGTTTAAGAGTCTTGAATGCACTTATTTTCACTGGAAAGTTATTTTCACTGGAAACATATGTGGATTATTCTCAGAAAACATAACTGTTAAATGTGAACCAAAAGAGGCATTCTCTTCTACAAGAAAGAACAGGAAAACACATACACACACACACACACACACACAATTAAAAAAACAACCAAACAAACAAAAACCTGCCTGTAATACAAAGACAGAAATGTTGTCTCTCATTCTCTCAGTACTTTGTAC